TATATATATATATACCTATAAACGCAGGTTTACAAATACTGCGTCCTAGCTACGTGTATATAGGCAGAATGGCCAGGTACACCTGTTCGATCGAGCCATTCGCCATAAAAGCCCCGGAGCGAAGAAGGAAGCCCGACCTCTCTCTCTCTCTCTCTCTCTCTCTTTTGGTCGCATTTTCATTTCGCTCCCTTTCCCCCTCTGTTCGCTCGCGCACTTTTACCGTGCGTGTATATATTTTTACGAGGACATTTTTTGGAAAAAAAGGCGACCGGCACCTGTCGGTTCGAATGAATGAGCTCGTGAATGGGGGAACATTCCGAGGCGTTGCTCGGATTTTGCTGCTTTGATTGCGGCGAAACACTTTTTCGTTGTTGTGTGCTCCTAAGCAGAACTTCTTCTGTTGTTGTTGTTGTTGTCATTGTTTCTTTTTCTCCGAGGATTTCAAAAACCACTTCCTTTTGGCTCCAAAGACTTGGGAGCTTTTTTTTTCTTTTCTTTTCTCTTTCGGAGAACTTGTTTTTGATTAAATATTTTTATTGATACAACAATGCGGGGTTGCGTTACGTTTTTTATGCAACGAGTCGGCGAGTCATTGAAAAGTCGACCTTGCAGAGAATAAATATTAATTAACAACAACAAATACGAGAACCTTCGTTTTTACAATTAACGTTTCCATCGATTTTCCGTGAATTTGATCAAACGTGTTTTTTTTTTCTCGCGTTAAAAATCCAAACACAGATGAACATCGCTGTTTTTGCGAATCTTGGGCCCAGACGCGTACTCGTGGAAAACACAAATCTACCAATAAAGTTTTCACAAGTGCTTGAAAAATGTCTGACAAGTGATCACGAGAATCAACACAGAATATTTTTGATGTATCGTGTAGGGGCCGTGGAGACTTTTTTTTCAGATAATCATATTACTAATGTCCATTTGAAAAAAATGTTTGAAACTCATAAAATTGTAGAGTAATATGAGAAGTTCGCGGATTACGAAACGAGAACAGAAAGTTGCATCAGAGATTTGACATTAACACCTTCTGCCAATAACCTGAACAAGCACTTCGCAGCTGTGATCAGCTGTAAGTGATTGTAATGCTTGTGACGAAAAATTCATGCTGTGCGCTACGGAATACACGCGATGGCGTTATCTCTGATGTATCCGTGTGTTTGCACACGTTATTTGTGATATTGGAGCCCTTCATTTTCGAGCACATCGATCGCATGACAAGTGCGGCAGTGTGTACATTATCTCGGTAATTCAGAGCACCGGTTAGGCGCAATTCCGAAAATTGTCAAAAACACCTGTACTTTATATCGAAGAGCCAACCTCCACTACGAGCTGATAGTTTTGGAAAATCACCTGTTTTCTGTTTTAATACGTAGGGAAGTGAATGATAATTTTTTTCTTTCGCAAAAAGTGTAACATAATATCATTATGTAATTCGCGTCAACAGAAACGTTAAGAAGAAAAGCAAAAAATATTATCCGACGCGGATCATTGAATGGAAATAACGTTTAACAATAATACACATGCCATCTGTTAAAGTTTATTATTTTTTTATTTCATTCGGATCCCAATGCTCTTTTACAGGATTGAGTGTTTACTTGAAGAGCGGTAAATGCAGTCTCAATGGTATACACTCGTACGCAAGAGTAGCCATTTTTAAGGTGGCGTGAAAAAAAAGAAAAAAAAAAAAAAAAAAAAAGAAAAAAAAA